AATCGGCTGAAATTTGAAATTTGGCCAGGAGGCCGGGCCGCGTGTCATGAGTGATAAGTGTGGTAAGCCAAGATCCGTGGCTTCCAAATTGCAAGAGTTGAATTCTTGCAATAAGGTTAAGTCCAGATCGAGCAAACCTTATTTGGGGAGATTAACACGATATGTTATTTTATGGTTTAGCATCTTGCATTAACCTAGCAATACTCTTTGTAAGCTATTGTCAGCCTCAAGATCTCTTCTACATCTTTTCTATGGCTATGCTCACTGCTCTCTTTCGGCTGTCATTAGTAACGGGGGGAAGGGGGGGAATTGGAGGGGAAGGAAGCTGGGGGTGTTACATTCCTGTGCTGTAGATGAGGAGGAGGAGGAGGAGTATAAATTCTTGTCCTTAAGTTTCTATTTCCTTGCTTAGCTTTTTCTTTCCTTTTGCGCAGCTGCGAAGTTTTATCAAAATATGTCAAGGTCAACGGACAGAGGCCTCCTCACCACCTGAAGATGCCCAGATGATCATATTCAGAACTTTTAATTGGAAGAGTCTTTTGGACTTTGGGGGGGTGGGAACAATTCCATCCCTTTGTATATGTGATCTGCGCGCCAAATTCTTTAGATTCAGAATCTTCTCTGTAGCTTCCACTTTGAAATTCAGTAAAAGGAAAAACTTTGCTCTAACCATTGGAGTCTGAGTGTTTCTTTCTTGGATTTTGAATGGAGCACGGACTGACAGCTATGGTTTATGATTGAGGGCTTAGCGTACAATCAGCAAATCTTGTTTATTCGTACTTAAGAACAGCCAAAGTATAACTATCAATTAAACCATAACTTAACACATTTCAATCTTGGCAACTTTAAGATGCGTGGACTTCAACTCCCAGAGATTCCTTAGCCAGCATTAAAACCTTGGGAGTTTTTAAGAAGACATTGGACAGCCATTTGTCTGAAATGGCTTTCTTGTGTGAGCAAGGGTTGGACTAGAAGACCTCCAAGGTCCTTTCCAACGCTGTTAGCCTAGTGTAGCTGGCTGGGGAATTCTGGGAATTGAAGTCCACACATCTTAAGGTTGCTAAGATTAAAAAAAAATGCCTTAAGATGTTGTATAAACACAGAGATATTCTGTATTATTCTATTCCAGTAATATGCTTAATTAGATAAGCACTTGGAAGTTCCTTTTCTAAATGGCCAAACTTACCATCTCTGGGCTAGTGAGGATGAATTAAGCTATACCCATCCACAGAAGCATAGTTAGCATCACCTATAGAAACAAAGATGACAATTAATCCACAAGGTAAAAATGTCTGAGCTGAAATTTAAAATGGCAACACTGTGCTTGATTGACCACCAAGATGGGTAAGAACAAAAGAACATTTAGGAAATATCAGGCAGGTGTAAAATCTAATTAAGATTAGGAGAGTCACAAAATGTTTATTACCAGTAGTTGGAGATAATGCAAATCAAAGTCAGGAACAGAGGTAAGTATTCAGCAGGTTCTGACCAGTTCTGGAGAACCGCTAGCAGAAATTTTGAGTAGTTCAGAGAACTGGCAAATACCACCTCTGACTGGCCCCGCCCCCATCCATTCTCCGCCTCCCGAGTCCCAGCTGATTGGCTGGGTCTTCTTT